ATTTTTCTGTTCTTTCCAATTCGTGTTCAAGATCTAATAAATCTTAAAAACCAAGAATGTTAATAAAAACAATAATTACCTCAGACGGCGACTGACAGACTAACAGAGGGCCGGACTTCGGCGGACGGCGTCGGCGGTAAAGGGTTTGGCCGTTTGGGAATTGCCGAATTGGAAGAAACCGTGCACAGTGCAAACAGCGTAAAGTTTGGGAATTGGGTTTTAATTTTATATTAGCAAATTTGGTTTTCCATTTTCAAATGGGCCTTGAACATGGGCTACTGAGCTTCAAGTGGAAAAACAATGGGCTATAACCAATTTTTCTTTGGAAGATTTCATAAATAAGAGGTTTAGTTTTACAAATTTCAAATTTAATATATTATGTTTAAAATTTCAAATTTCAGAGTTTTTTAAATTTTATTTATAAACTAATTAATTAAGCATATATTTTATTAATTAAATATATTAAGGTTACAATTTCATATAATTTGGTCACAAATTCCATATAATTGGTCACATATTATTAATCGATCACAATTTTCATGTCACAAATTATTTTGTGGTCACAATTCAAAAAATTTATATGTCACAATTTGTTCATCGGTCACAAATCAAAAATTGAAACGTCACAAATTATTTTACTATCACAAATCGAAAATTTTATAAGTCACAAATTCTTTTACGGTCACAAATCACAAATTTTATATGTTAAAAAGTATTTTACGGTCACAATTCAGAAATTTTGTAAGTCTCAATTTGTTTATCAGTCACAAATCAAAAATTTTATAAGACATATTATTTTACGATCACAAATCACAAATTTTATATGTCACAAATTATTTTACGGTTACAATTCAGAAATTTTATAAGTCACAATTTGTTCATCGGGTACAAATAAAAAAATTTATACGTCACAACTTATTTATCGATCACAAATCACAAATATTATAAGTCATAATTTAGTAGACAGTCACAAAATGTTAAATTATCGATTACAAATTAACAATTTTTTAGGTCACACATTATTTCTTACTTACAATTTATATTTTTCATTGATCACATATTGTTTATTGGTTACAGATTAACCAATTTAATGGTCACAATCCATCAAATAATTTGTGACCACTACCTTACCACTCTCTCCAGCAGCGCCACCCCCACCGTCGTCAAAACCAACACCACCTCTCGCTAGCAACACCATTTCAAACAAATCAACACATCGCACATAGCAGAAAAACACCACCACATCGTCGCACCAGATCCACCACCACCTCGACAGGCCCATCCCCACCAACATCTCACCATCACCTCCAACCACCACCACCAACTCACCACCACCACCATAGCCAACGTTATCAATCACCACCACCCAACTACCACCAAAAAATCAAATTTAGGTGAAGTAGATTGCGTCCAGTTTCAAAACTCTTGATCAGTTTCTTTCACTTCAAAACAGAATGGAAAATTAAATTGAAACCCTCCTCTCACTTCATGGTTGGAATAGTTTGTTAGTTAAATTTAGAAATTGATCCCTCTCACTATTACCATTCTCCGTCCACACTTTACAGGAACAGCTGAATGCATTCAGCAATTTGCTATCCCCTAACGATCTTTTTTCTTAGTTTGAATTTACACGATTTAATTCTACTCACTACCACCACACACTAACACCATCGAGCCGCCACTATAGCCACACACTAACACTACCAAACTGCCCCTAAAAAACCACCAGAAAACATGCAGCAAAATCACTACAAAACCACCGATCTATGTGTACAAGCAAAATCATTACAAAAATCGCCAGAGAAACCACCCGATTGAATGCCACGATCCACTCGGAAAAACCACTGGGTTGAACGGCACAGCACCCCTCGAAGAGATAGAGCGCGGCATTGCTCAGAGCTGCCCATCCGTGAGCAGAGGTATCACACTGCAGCTGGGCGAAGCAGTAGCTTCACCTCTCATATGGCAGTCGCTCCGGCACAGTAGAGAGAGGAGGGAGAAATGATAAAATTAGGGTTTGGGTGGA